TCATCCTGGTAGCCGGTCTTGCCCGGCATCATCGGTAGCTGACTGGGCTGCGATTGGCCTCCATCAGCACCTTCCTCCTCCTGAAGCCACCTTCTCAAGCTCTTCTTCTCCTCCTTCGTCATCGAGTCCACCGCCGCCAGAGCCTCAAGAGGGGAGAGCTTCACCTTGGCATCCCGGTCACGAGTCTTGCCCAAGGCCCTCTTCGGAACTTGCACATCATGCATGGGACGCGGTGGGCGGTCAGAAGACTCGGCGGCCCGCTCGCCACCAGAGGTCGCCACGTACAAGTCATCATCGCCCTTCTCGCCCACCACCTGCCACTCACGCTTCGCCACGGCAGCCGGGGGCGAGCCTGCCACAAAGGTGAAGTTCACGAAGTTCACCGACTCCTCGCGCTTCTGGCCGGCCGGCTTGTGGAGAGGGTCCTTGCCAGCCAAGACGTTCGGGCAGCAAGGATCCCCACGCCAGTGCCCAGTCTGGCCGCAGCTGGCGCAAGAAGAAGATTTCTTCTTGTCCGCCAACGACCTCGATGAGCTCGTTGTGCCCGGCCCGCTCGAAGGTCGACTCCATCCTCGGGCCTTTCGTTGGGCGGCCTGCTTCCCCTTTGCCTTCCATCCCGCAGCGAAGGCCTCCATCACGGTGTCGCCATCGACGGTGCCATCCTGGGAAGCAGCCTCCTCATCAGGAACCAGGTCCTCTTCCATCGCCGGCTCGCCAAAGGGAGGTTCCTCCTCAGCGCCGGCCTGGTCATCAAACTCGCCCTCAAAGCCCTCAAGCTGGTCCAGGTCCTCCTCCTCTATGTCTTCGAGGTCGCCGCCCGCCAGGTGCACAGCACTCTTCTTCCGGAAGCCAGGGCCACCCCCGCGACTGGTAGTAGACGCCGGCCGCCGGAATGAGGAGGAAGATGCCGAACTCGCCGCCGTAGACCTGGTCGAAGGAGTAGTTGAGCGGCCTCCGGTGCCCGGGGCTGGAACACGCCGCTCCTCTTCATGAACCACAGCACACCGGTAGCGCAAGGCGGCCTCGATCTGGACAGGGTCGTAGCCACCGGCGCTGTAATACACATCAAGACGCTCGCGGCGGCTAAGGGAGGCACGATTCAAGAGCCGCTGCCCCCACGCTTTGGCACTCATCACTGACTCTGGGTCGACCCGGACGTACTGAGCCTTCAACCGCTTCATGCCCGCAACATAGCTTGCAATGGACTGGCCGGGCAACCTGCGGTACGCCTGCAACTCTCTCTCTGCCCTCTCGAACTGTTCGCTGCTGGTCTCGTCGTAGGACTCGTCCAGCAGCTTCCACAGCACAATGTCGCCCCCAGCACAAGTGTACTCCGAAAGCGCCAGCTGGTCCAAAACATCCCTGGCGTCGCCCTTGGTAGACAAATACACAAGCATCGTCACTTCGGCAGCCTCAAGCTGGTAGAGCTGGGTCTGGGCCTCAATGGCCCGCTTCCAAGACCGATAGCGCTTCCTGTCCCCATAGAACTCCTCTATCTTGACGCTGCCGATAGAGCTCTTCGGCCGCTGGTGTTCCCGAGCTCGCCGGCGCAGCAAAGACCTAAGTTCCGAAGTCCCGGCCGAGCTGGAAGGAGCAGCCGAGGGAGCCTTTGGGGATCCCGGTCCTGACGGCGGCTTGTCGCCACCTCCATCTGCGCCGCGCCCTCCTGAATCACCTTGGTCGCCACCAGAGGAAACACCGCTGGGTTCAGGTAAGGGGCCGGGATCATCATGTGCACTTGCCCTCCCCGTCGGAGAGGTAGAAGACGAAGAAGAGGAAGATCCCGAAGAAGGTGGGCCAGCCGGCCCTGCAGCAACGCTCTGATGCCCAGTCGTCTCTAAGGGTGCACCTGCAGCAAAACCAGGTGGAGCATTCCATGCGGCCGCTGCACCCGAGCACGGGCCCATCATTGCCCAATAAGGGGGAACCTGCCACGACCAGGGAACTGGTAATCCAGAAGGTCCTGGCACGCACCCTTGAGCATTTCCAGCATGCGGAAGGCCTGCAGCAAGCCACCCAGGAGGAACAGCAGGAGGTAGAGCCGGAGCTGCCCCATGGCAACCAGCCCCCGCATCAGCAGGCACATTCCATGTCCCAGGTGGCACCATCTGAGCAGTCGGGCCAGCACGCACAGGCCCATAAGTCACCGGAGGTCCCGTCGGAGCAATGCCAGCACCTTGGCTCAAAACGCTCCACGTCGAAGGCGGCGCTTCAGGAGAGCTATGGCTGCCCTCAGCTGGCCCTCCACTCCAAGGGTCACCTCCCGGCTGGTCCCACGGATCATCGTCGGGAACTGGTCGCAGCCAAGCTCCCTCATCGGCAGCCACGTTCGCAGACATGGCTCCAGGCTACGGCAAGCAGAGCAGCCTACTCACCACTAAGCACTAAGGAACCGGTAGCAACCAGCTCCGCTACCAATATGGATCGGATAACCAACCCCAAGAAACCACAGCAGCAAGCAAAGCACGGCAGGCATTCTTTCGCGCAAGGCTAGCAACGTTGCTTCGAGAGTCGAGCGGGGCCGGGTTCCACAGGCTTGTCGAGGCTTCTGTGCACACACGACACTCGCCGCAGAAAGTCAATGCACATGCCCTCATGGTCTGATCTTCACAAACCCCAATTAGGCTCCCTTTTCGGGTACTTATAAGTCTACTTACTACGTAATTACCAAGTCCCCTGACCCTCCAAGTACGGCTTTATAGGGACCCCAACAAGGACATAAGCATAGGCATGTTATAGGGATATCCCTACTTTATTTGGCTTCTTTATAAGGTGGTTTTTATGGGATATCCCTATCTTGTTTTTGCTTAGGGCTTTAGGGTTGTAGGGTTTAGGGTATAGGATTTTGGGATGTGGGGTTTTCGGGTTTAGGTGTTTAGGGTGGGCAGTTCTCCAGTTTACGGTCACCACGCACCCTTTATGAAACGGACCCCGATGGGGACCCTGAGTAAGAGAACTACCGAACTACCCACATAGATCAGGGTTTAGGGTTCAGGTTTGGAGTTTAGGGGGTTGTGGTTTGGGGAATAGGGTTCAGAGCTGACAGGTTGCTAAGGTACTAATAGGGCTGACATAAAATGGGGTCCTCGTAAAAGTTCTGGCAATAAGTGTAATACGATTTACAGTCTACCAATCCGGGATCTTTAACAGGTTTATATAGGGTTCAGGGTCAGGCCTTAACAATTAAAATAAGGCGTCTATGCGGGTCCTCTTTATCGGTGTCTACATGCAAGGGGTCCTTTCGAGGGCTTCTTTTAGTTTCTGCACTAATTACTAAAAGGGCTCAGTATCGGGGCCATAATCATTGGACTGGGTTTGGGGATTTCGGGTGTGGAATTTGGCGGTTGGGGTGGCTTGTGCAGGGTAGAGAGTTGGGGGCAGGAAGGGGGAGGTGGAGGGTATTGAAGGTTTGCGATGTTCGTGGGACATGTGCGATGGTGGGCTTGTTCGAGTAAGGCGTCCCGCAGCAAGATTCAGGAATGAAAGTTTGTTTAACGGTGAAGCCCTACTGGGTTGGCCTTTAAACACCCTGAAAAACATTTATATATAGGGTCCCTTATTAACCCAAATGAGGAAAATAAAAAATGTCCCAAAATCCAACCTAGCCTATTCTAGCTCCTCAGGCCTGAGGCTCCTCATTGTAGTTTTACACCACTCAAGTCAATCCTCTAAGGCCCCGGCTTTGAGGGTTTGTCTTGCTACTGGTGGCTTCAGGTGAAACTGAAAAATTGGAGGAATCCCAGTGTCAGAAGCTAGAGCTTGACATGCTTGGAGACATTCGTTCAGGTGCTTACAGAACTTTACAAGGGCTTCATGAGGTTTTGTCGGGTAGCCGCCTAGTGCTTTGTGCATGCAGAGCTGCCTGGAAGGACCCAGCCTGCAGGACCTGTCGCCGGTAGCAAGCACTCCGTGTGGCACGCATCAAGTATGCAACCAAGTAGATTCACGGAGCACAGATTCGTTGTTGCCGATGTCGTAGCGATGGCACGCATACCTCCAGCTGTTGCTTTTGGTGCGCCGTATACGTCCTTCTTAGGCGCCGGCTTGTTTGTCAAGGACAAATACTTGATGCGGCGGGATTCACGTGCTTGTTCTCCTTGCGGATCCCCCAAGACTGCTTCTACTAGCCGATGAACTGTTCTGGGTAGTTGTCAAAATTACGGTCCGTTTTGGGGTACCCTACATATTAGGTGCCGTACTATATTAAGGACCCAAGAAGGGACCATAATTTTTGGCAACTACCCTTCTGATGACAGTCTCATCCGAAAGGTCGTTCTGCTTCGCGGGGATGCGGCCCATCAAGACCTCCTCGCTGGCCATGTCCAGTAGACCAACCGCAGACGAGGGGTTGATCTGAGTGGGGATGGTGTCGCTTGTGCCGTCCGGTTTAGGGCTTAAGGGTTTTAGGGTGTAAGAGGTTTAGGGTTTTAGGGTTAAGGGTGTTAGGGGTTTAGGGTTTTAGGGGTTGAGGGCTTTAGGGGTTTAGGGTTTGAGGCCTTCAGGCTTCAAGCCTAGTTCAACCGTATCTGAAAAGATGTTCAGGACGACGGTGCAAGACTGCAGCACAGCAGCGAGTTGCTGCAAGTACTTCCAAAGGGGTTCCACCAAGAAAATAAAACTGTCGCCTCAAGCCTAGAGATACAATCCTGAACCGGATGCCCTAACAACCTAAAACCCAATACACCTAAACCCTTCTAGACACCATAAACGGAACCCTTCCAGCAACCCGAGACCCCGAAGCCCTCCAACTCCAAACCCTGTTAGAACTGTGCCTACCCCCATACTTTAAACCTTATAGTTATAACCACCTTTACACTAAACTCTCACAGGCACTCCCGAAGAATCCTCCAAATCCCCTTTAGAACTATAATAAAGAGCACTATTCTCAATATTCTTTCGGGTTTTTTATGAACAAAAATCAAGAAATAGCTTATATGAAAACTGAAAAATAATTCCTAAGGAGACTATAGTCCTTCGAAGCCGGAATCCGAGCGCCCCACAGCGCCCTTGTCACCGCGGTCCTTCTCCTTCTTCTCCTTCTCGCGGCGCCTCACTGGTTCGTGACGAAGAAAGAGGGCTTTCAACAAAGAACCGAAACAAACGGTTTAGGGTTTAGGGTTTAGGGTTTAGGGCTTAGGGTTTAGGGTTTTGGGGTAAATGCCTACTGTATACATGCATACATGCATGCATATACAGCGAACAGTGCGTACCTTTCCTGGGATGCATACATTTCTTTCGTGCATGTGCGCAAGATGCACCTTCAAGCCCTGTCGGGTTCGGGACCTTCGACCCAAAGCTTGAACCCGAAGCCCGAAACTCTGAGTCCCAAAATGATATAGAGCCGCAAAAAATATGCACATAAGCAAAAAATAAGGATAGGGATATCCCATATAAACCCCGTTATAATGAAGCCCAGTAAGGTAGGGATAGCCCTATAAAACGCTTATGCTTATGTGCCTTTTTGGGCCCCTAACCTTACGCCTGAGACATCATCCCTGAGCCCTGAACTCTCGCCCTGGCTTTGACCCCTCTAAGCCGTGAACCCTAAACACGAAACCCTAAATTCTGAGTCCCAAACCCTAAGCCCTGAATTTTAAACACTGAACGCTAAACCCGAAACCGCTCGGGATTAGTGACCAAGTAAGATCCAGGTATCCTTGAGCGGCTGCGGCGGTCGCGGTCGCGGTCGCGATCCTTGTCCTTGTCCTGCGAGTTTCGGGCTCCGTTGAGGTTTAGGGGTTTTGGCTTCCTTGAAGCGTTGCTGCATCAGAACGAGAAGGATTCCATGGAAGGGTTAGCATATGGTTCTGGGTTTGGGCTGCCGGGGTTTTAGGGCGCGAAGGTTTAGGATGGGTTTAGGGGGTTTCAGGCTCAAGGGAAAGGTGCTCGGAGTTGAGGACGGGGGACCTATAGTCTCCGTTGTAGTTCCTTTTTGGGGTTACCTTATAGGATCCTAATTATATATTCGGTTAAACCGAAAAAACGCACTAATATGGAGACTATAGGGAGAGTTGAGAGACAGCTGTTTGGACCGACGCTGTTTGCCAAACTGCTCCTGCGGTTCTTGATTTAGAGTTTTGGCCTAATGGGCTGCGCATGCTGCCCAACCCTCAACCCTTTTCCCCGAAACCCCCAAACCCTAAAAACTAAAAAATAGAACCCTAAACCCTATAAACCCTTAAACCCTGAACCCTTAAAACCCCAAACCCCCCAACCCTAAAACCCCTAAACTTCGACTCGACAATCATCCTATGGAAACCTTTTGTGCACCATGCACAAGTAGGGTTTAGGGATTGGGGTTTAAGGGGTTTAAGGGCTTCATGTTTTTAGGGTTTAAGGGTTTAGGGCTTGAGGGCTTAAGGCTTGTAGGGCTTAAGGGTTTGGGGTTTAGGGCCCGGGAGCCTATTCAACACTAATAGGCCTTCCAAGCATTCTCGGTTTCGGGTCAGGGTTGAGTTTTAGGGGTGTAGGGTTGCCCAGAGACTCCAATATTCCTTAATTAGGGAATATACCCTAAATCATATAAGGGATCCTACCATCTTTTAGGGAATATTCCTTAATTAAGGGATATTGGAGTCTCTGGTTGGGTTCTAGGTGATGGCTTCTGAAGCCTCCAAGTAATCAGCCCAGTATTATGCGTTGGTGTTTCGATTTTCGCGCTTTGGGGGTGGGACTTCATTGGGTTTGCCAATAAGTCGGAACGTTTCCTTGTGATTTGTACTGAACCAACGACAACTGTGCGCGTCAAGACCCCTAACCTAGATCGCGGTTGGGATAGGATTAAAAATGTACATTGTGATTCCTTATTGGGTTTTAAGTACCCTTAAAAATGTAAAATGTTACCCAACTATGACAAAGTAACATTCGCCACAAGCCCCAAACATGTCGAATTCATGCTCCCCGGATAATTTCAGCCCTCTTTGGCTGCTCCTTTTTCGACTTCTTGGCCGTCTGGCCCAGGTACTCGGGATGGTCGTCGTACATCTGCGGGTTCGGTCACGTACGGTTGATGATACAAATCCTGCATTACCCACAATAGGGAATATACCAGAATTCCCATAGTCCAGGGTCCTGAAGGTAATGCCGGATTTATATTATTCCTATAGTCTCCATTGTAGTTCCCTTTTCTGGTTAACCAAAAACTCTATTCTAGGATCCTAACCATAAAACTGGTTAACCCCAAAAAGGAACTACAATGGAGACTCTAGGTTTCTCCGTAGTTCAGAGTTTAGGATGGTTGAGGCTTCGGGTTCAGTGATTAATTGGAGGTTCATGGGTAGTTATAAGGGTTCCTTTGAGGGTCCCCTGAAAGGGGTCTATACTGATTCTAGAATGGGCTTACTTGGAGGTTCATGGGAAGTTACAAGTGGGGATATATAAGTCCCCTAGTATGGGTTATAAGTATAGTTAACCTACTTATATCCCTACTCCTAACTACCCATGAACCTCCCAGTAGGGCTGGAGGAGGGTTTAGGGTTTAGCTGGGCAGGGACGGGATACTCTCCAGAACAGTAGCCTACACAACTACATAACAACTACCCTAAACCCCACTACCTAATTATTGGGCCCTTTCGACCCTATATAATTTAAACCCTGAACCCTGAATGAGGTCTGGGGGGGGGGGGGGGGCGAGTTCGGCTTTGAATCGTAAGGCTTCTTTCGCCCCTAATATAGTCAGGTTTGGGGTTTAGGGTTTAGGGTACTATGAGCTTTTTGGTTTCAGTGGCGAAGGTTAAAGGCTTGCTTTGGACATGTCTCTAGGGCGCTTGTGAGACAGACGTCCAGGGGTGAGGTTTCAGGTTGGCCTTTGAAAACGTGAGCTTATGTAGAGTGTGGAGGCAACCATGATGTGTCAAGGTCCGGAATACGTGAATCCTGAAAAGGCGCACAGGATGCAGAAAACTTCTTGCTCCCCAGATCCCTCATGCCCTATAGACGTAGGCAACAAACCCCAAAGTGCTGACACCCTCTTTCGGATTTCAATCATGAGCCCTCTTACACTCGCTCCTCGGCAGCGCTTAATCTTTGAATGTTTGGAGGGTTTGCCAAAGAGCCGGTCCATGTAAAAGATGCTGTCTTTGCACCTAGAAGCTATTATTCTGACACCTTACAAGCGCCAATAGCTGAAACGAAAATCCTGAACCTCATCTTAACCTACGACGGCCGATCCGTTTTGGAGGGTCGACACAGCCTCAAATGTGAACTTAAAACAAGTCCTACAACAAGTAGGTACTTTACGCTAAATAATCAATAATACCGTGTTGTCTTCGACAGATGGCCTCTCGCACCACGCGCCGCTTGATTGCTCGCGGAATGTGCTTGATGTGCATGAAGTTGCCTACATCGAGTGCCCGGTGTTCCCGCTTGGACGTAAATTAATGTAGGGGCCTTCATAATCAGAATACGGTTTTGGGGCCCATTATACTATAGTTATGATAAGGAACCCCCAAAGTAGCATTGCTAATTCTTTAGGCCCCTATACTAGGGTTGAGGGTTTAGGATTGCGACTAACGGCTTCAGAAGGATGTCTGGGATGTAAGCCTCCAGTGAGATCTGCTGAACGATTGGCAAACAGAGTTTGGGAGTCGAGGCAGCTTGGTTCAGGGGTTAAGTGTTTAGGGCTCAGGGTTTAGGGTTTAGGGTTCAGCGTTTGGGGCTTAGGGTGTAGGGTTTAGGCAGCTTCATAGAGAGCTGCACATGGAATTTGCAAGGCCTCTCTGGGACTGTGCCGCGCCAATACGCTGACCCGGGTGCAAAACCAGTCCACGCCAGTTGTATTGGCCCCAACGATCGAACTGCCCAACAATACCCGGCTTGTCGTCGATGTGCAATACAGGCGTACTCGAATCAAGCTCCGACTCCGCAATGGCAGTCCAAAGCTTCGCCGCCTTCTCAGGACAGCGGATGAAGAGAGCAGAAATCGAGCGCACTCTGTAGTGAGTTTCAGCGACGACCCGTTCCATAAAAGAAAGCGCCTGGCTGATAAGACTTTCTGTACTGCACTTAGAGTTGACCAATTCAAGAAGAAGCTTGATTCAAAGCGCGCCTGCCCTGAAGCCTAAACCCCTAAACCCCTAAACCCTAAACCCCTAAACCCTAAACCGAACCCTAAAGCCTGAAGCTGCAATCAGTCGGTTGGGAAACTCATGCAATCCCAACATCTTTACACGTCCAATATGCTACTGTAGAGGAACCAGAGGCTAACCTTTGGGAGAAAGAAGAATTCCAGTATCCCCAGAATGTTAAACAAAGGTTACCTACTCTACTACCCAGTTTAAGAACGACGGGTCTCATGAGACCCACGCACAGAGAGCGAGAACCGCATGGGATATCAATGAATCCTACGGCCATACACAACACTCGAGTTTACTTACCTTGGGTTAGCAGGGAATGGAGGAATATGGTACCACTATAAATACAAAAAGTACCATTCTACCTAAACCCTAAACCCTAAACCCATGACAACTACTACTACTACTACTACTACTACTACTACTACTACTACTACTACTACTACTACTACTACTACTACTACTACTACCATTCTTCCACTCCCTAAAAACCAAAGGTAAGTTTAGGGTTTAGGGCTTCCAGGGGTGCTCCTAAGCTCCTCCTAAAAGGCAGTGGCCAAAAGCGGTTTTAGGGTTTAGGTTGGATACTGCCCCCATACACTAACAGTCTATAATAGGGCTACTATTAAGGGCCTAATATATCCATAATAAGACTATTATCCAACTGTTACTGAGTGGGGGCAATATCCAAGGTTTAGGGTTATAACACAAGATCGAAACTTGTGAAGCCTACCCTACAGAATCTTACCTCAGCGGCTGTGTTTATGCGCCCTTAGGTTTCTGCTTTTAAACCACCAGGCATCCGAGAGGCAATAAGCTCCACGGTTGCAACGCGTCTCGTGGAACCTTTGCTTGCAGGAAACATAGGGACCCTTAGGGGAGTAGTCGCCATAGGAAACTACACTTCCTTAAATAGGCCGTATTAAGTCCTTGTTTTGGGTATTAAGGCCCCCTACCCGTCTAAGGTTCCCTATGAAGGAAACTTGAGAGCTCATGGTGAAAGAGGGCAGCTGTGGCACTAGGGAGAAACTCTGTCATAACCTCTGTCACAAACTCTGAACCCCAAACTTTTACCATACCACTCGCACTTCCGGGCCTCAATGTAGAATAGCTTGTAGAAGGTCGAAGGCCAAAACCCAAAACCATCTCTAACCCGACGGACAGCTTGGCCATCTTCGAACCAAACCCTAGACGAAGCCTTTGTGCCCAAACCAAGAACCCCTAAACCCTGTCTCACACCAAAGACCGTAACTGTTGATGATATAAATCCTGCATTACCCACAATAGGGAATATGCCATAATTCCCATAGTCTAGAGGCCTTAAGGTGATGCAGGATTTATATCATCAACCGAAGTACGGTTCCCTATTGGGAAAGCTTTGGGTTCGGGTTTGGGTCTTCGGTTCAAAAGCCACCGGGCTTCCCTGTGGCGGCGCTTTGGGGCAGCATGCGGATTTAGGGTTTAGGATTTAGGATTGCTTTTAATGCAACGGCTCTTTCTCCGAAGGGCTGCAGGTTTAGGGATTAGGGTTTAGAGATTAGGGTTTAGCTCCTCGGTCAACACCAAACCTTAAACCACACAGCTTTCTGACTCCAATACCATGTTAGGGATACCGCGATCATTTAACGTATATTCCTTAAATTTCTATGGGTAGATCCTTAAGGACCAAATGTGCCTTAAAAGTAGGGGCCCTGAACCCTGATACTATGAACTCCTCTATGGTATATGAACCTTAAACCCTTTTATGGCTCATTTCGTCTTTACCCATAGGCCCCAAAGTAGTTCCTTTTTGGGATTACCTAATAGGATTCTATGAATGAATCCCAAAAAGGAACTACTTTGGGGCCTCTAATTACTATACTGAACTTAGAACCCTAGCAAAAATGTTAATTTTAGCTGTTTCTTAGGGATTATAATAACCAAAAATTAAAAATTATTTCTAAGTACCCCTAAGATTAAGGATGCCTCTTTCCGAAACATCGGCGCAGAGAACTCTGAGGCTCCCACGCTCGGCAGCGCGCCTCGCGGAAATCGGAGACCGTCGTGTACTCGGCCTGGAAGTAGGGTTTAGGGTTTGAGGTTTGGGTTTTAGGGTTTCGGGTTTAGGGTTCACGGTTTGGGGTTTAGGGTTTCGGGTTTGAGGTTTAGGTTTTAGGGTTTCGGGTTTAGGGTTCACGGTTTGGGGTTTAGGGTTTAGGGTTTGAGGTTTGGGTTTTAGGGTTTCGGGTTTAGGCTTCACGGTTTGGGGTTTAGGGTTTCGGGTTTGAGGTTTGGGTTTTAGGGTTTCGGGTTTAGGGTTCACGGTTTGGGGTTTAGGGTTTAGGGTTTGAGGTTTGGGTTTTAGGGTTTCGGGTTTAGGGTTCACGGTTTGGGGTTTAGGGTTTCGGGTTTGAGGTTTAGGTTTTAGGGTTTCGGGTTTAGGGTTCACGGTTTGGGGCTTAGGGTTTCGGGTTTGAGGTTTAGGTTTTAGGGTTTCGGGTTTAGGGTTCACGGTTTGGGGTTTAGGGTTTAGGGTTTGAGGTTTAGGTTTTAGGGTTTCGGGTTTAGGGTTCACGGTTTGGGGTTTAGGGTTTAGGGTTTGAGGTTTGGGTTTTAGGGTTTCGGGTTTAGGGTTCACGGTTTGGGGTTTAGGGTTTCGGGTTTGAGGTTTAGGTTTTAGGGTTTCGGGTTTAGGGTTCACGGTTTGGGGTTTAGGGTTTAGGGTTTGAGGTTTAGGTTTTAGGGTTTCGGGTTTAGGGTTCACGGTTTGGGGTTTAGGGTTTCGGGTTTGAGGTTTAGGTTTTAGGGTTTCGGGTTTAGGGTTCACGGTTTGGGGTTTAGGGTTTCGGGTTTGAGGTTTAGGTTTTAGGGTTTCGGGTTTAGGGTTAAGTTCACGGTTTGGGATTTAGGGTTTAGGGTTCGGAGCTTTTTCGTGCACCTCCGTCCGATCGCATAGAGCCCTAAAGCTAAGATTAGTACTTCTGGCCTGTGTTATCAGAAAGGGCCCAGAGACAGATATGGGAGTTTCCGAAAATTAGGGGTACCTTATTTTGGGGTCCTCATAATAAGGATCCTACTATTCAAGGTACCATATTAGGGTCCCTTATTTTCGGAAACTCCCATATCTACCTTTTTAGAGGTAGCCGACGTCCAGGGCAACCATCCCAAAAATTGCCAAGCTGCAATATGGAAAAGAAAGCTCTCCGAATGAGGGTTGCTTTTTTAGGGGTGGGTTTAGGGTTTAAGGTTAGGGTCATGAAAGGGACCCCGATTCAGAAACACTGGAAGCACTCACAATGAGCCGGAGGTATCATGCCGTGTCATTCAAAAATGGCTGCAAACATCATCAAGGCTGCAACTCTCACCGAGTGACAGTCTACGGCATACCCTGATGACGAACCCTTACGTACCATCATTCTGAAACAGCCATGCGGTTGAACTGAGAGCATGATTGCTACCATGAGTTCAAACATTACCACAAACATGAACAGCGACCGATGCTCCAAACTAGCACTTCTGCTGCTAGCCTCGGCATCAGCACTGTTACTCTTCTCACTTCTGCGCCTACCGCATTAAACACTGAGCTGAACCCTAAACCCTAAACCTAAAACCATAAAACCTAAACCCTAAGCCTTAAACCCTGAGCTGAACCCCAAACCCTGAACCGTAGCTCTGCTGCCTGGATGAGCTTGCCGCTGTAGAAACGACCTTTGGCCGGCACAGACCGGGGGTTGGGGTAGTTGTCAAAATTAGGGTCCCTTGTTGGGTACCCTAAATAATAAGTGCCGTATTATAAAGGACCCAAAAAGGTACCATAATTTTGGCAACCACTCAAGTAGTAGGCTAAGTTTAGAATAAGGAGCCCTAAGGGGGGAATTGTGAAATTCTTCATTGGCTTTAAGGGGTTTAGGGTTTAGGACGCCACATTGCACCCTTCATGGCTGTCGAAGGATCCGGGGTCAAGCAAGAGACCGTAAACCCTAAACCGTCTCAGGCCCGTGTGAGGGTTTCAGGATTTGGGGTTAGGGTTTAGGCTTAGGGTTTAGGGTTTAGGGTTTAGGGTTTAGGGTCTAGGGTTTAGGGTTTAGGGTTTAGGCTTAGGGTTTAGGGTTTAGGGTTCAGGGTCAGGGTCAGGGGGCAGGATATTCCGGGCTAGGGTGTTTGGGTTCCAAGGGTCTCCGACGACCAACTGAACTCCTAACTCTCAGGGACCATGTGCTCATATAGTATATACATTGGCCTTAATGTAGTCCCGATATAGGTACTTTGGGGCTCATGTATCTCTATATGGGTTCATGGACCCTTAGGGTACGAGATACACTTCGGGTTCTGTGACTCCTGGGGGGGGATACAGCAGGTAAGGGCTTCCGGCTTGCGGTTAAGATTCGTTTTAGAAACAACCTATAGTCTCCGTTGTATATCTTTTTTGGGGGTTACCTTTTTGGATCCTAGTTATATATTCGGTTAAACCACAAAACAAGGAACTACAACGGAGACTATAGGAATGTCTCAACCGTTGAAATTGAAATGACGCCGCTTTCCGCCAAAAGCCATGACAATCAGATTCAAGTCACTTTCTGGAATGCTAGCCGACCACCCAGAGACTCCAATATCCCTCACCTCAGGCAGTATATACCCTAAATCCTTTTAGGGATCCTATACGATAACTGAAGGTATATTCCTTAATTAATATGGATGTTGGAGTCTCTAGCACCACGCACTCTCAGCGAGTCGCATTATTCTGTCGAGCTCAGAATCGCTCATTGCTGGATTCACACCTCTCGCTCGATCGCGACTCTCCAGTCCCAGAGCGCTGAATTGAACAAGATCTGACGTATCACAAACCCTACTATTCCATACGGTAGGATTTGTTTGTTGTGTGTTTTAAACGGCCTTTTCTGTCGCACGAGCTCCAAACAAGTTAGGGTTCAGGGTTTATGGGCCACTGATAAAGGATCCTACGCTAAGAAAACCCTCTGCCCTAACATCGCCTGCACTTTAACACCCGCGACATCCGGAACCCTACACTCTAAACCCCTTAAGCGTGAAGACTAAACCCCATGCCATGAGTCCTAAACAAAACCAACATCCAAAACTCTCAAACCCTAAGCCCTTAACCGGAAACCCTCTAACCCTTGAGGCGTGCCACCCGTCAGCTTCATCAACGCTCTTTCGGCATCCTCTTCGTGGTAGTACTTCACCTGGCGTGCGAGCAGGCTTGGACTTTTATGAAATGGGATTAGGGTTACAGTAGAAGCCAGAAAGTTGGAACATCGTTATCCTCATGCCCTTAAGGTAAAGTATAAGGATTCCCAGCACTATTCGTCCTAAATCCATGTTCCAACTTTCTGGGGTTCACTATAGGGGTTGAGGGTTTGCGGTATCTTGCGTCCGTTGTAGGGTATATGATTGGGGATTTCGCAGAGAGGTCTGAGGGTGTAACCAGGGTTTAGCGTTTGAGGCTTCGCCACTGAGCGCCGAATGCAAAACCCAGCCTTCTGAGTTGCACGTCTCTGTGATCGATGCCACATATAAGTCAAGGAAGATTCCTTAATCCAGGGGTATCGCAGTCTCGGAAATTGCAGAAACATCACCCTTAAGGGTTGAAGGTTTAGGATTTAGCGCCCCTTTTTCCCCAAAGCATGTCGCTGAACCCTGCGGGTTTAGGCTTCCCAAGCCCGGAACGCGCTGCAATGTGAGAAAAGAGATCCACCCCTAGGTCGCCTGTACGGCACGGTTCATGTCAGGCATCGGCCGACGAACCCTGCAGGCAGAGTCATGCAAAAAAGTTCGTGCCCGAGGATCCATGTACGATCCTCTTTAGGCGGGCAAACCACGGCCTGAAGCTACGGAACGTCCACCTTCAATACCAGGCGGTTCCTTAGCGGTGCGGCTCGGGCTTGCAAAGCTGAACTGGGAGCAGATCCAACCGCCTACACTCCCCTAGCCCAAGAAACCCTACTTAGAGGTTCATGGGTAGTTATAAGTGGTGTTACAAGCTCCCGAATATGGTAATATGGGTTATAAGTATAGATAGATACCCTACCTATATCCCTACTTGTCAGCACGCATGAACCTCCAAGTAAACATCCGTAACCCCCAAACCCAGACCCCCAAACTCTGAAGCGCAAGCTGCAATGCTGCGAATCATGAGAGTCCTGTCTGCTAATCCTACGATATATATCCGACCTAGCATCACTCTGTTTATGAACCCGAATGATACTAAATCCCCAAGCACTGAACAGGCTCATGTAGGCCCGAAACGGAGGTTCCCAGAACCCAGTTAGCAATATATCAGCATGCACTGCTCTTCTACTTCAGTTCTACTCATCAGATGCCGGGACTACTGCGGATGCAGGAACGGTCCTAGGCCCTAAACCCTAAACCCCTAAACCCTAAAGGTCCTAAGCCCTAAAGCCTCAAGCCTCAACCCGAAACCCCAACGGTCCTAAACCCTAAACCCAAAGCGAGACACAAGTTGGGCCTATGACCCCCAAATAATAGTACGATTCATATAAGGAACCCGAATAAAGGCCCAAGGTTTCTTGATCAGGTTCCTAAACCCAAACGAGACGGATTCATACCAGGAACCCGAATAAAGGCCCAAGGTTTCTTAAGCAGGTTCCTACGTTAAACCCAAACGAGACGGATTCATACCAGGAACCCGAATAAAGGCCCAAGGTTTCTTAAGCAGGTTCCTAAACCCTAAACCCAAACGAGACAGAAGCAAAGCTTCACTACCAGGCCGTCCTCGTGGTGCCGAATCTCTGGCGACTTGTGGACTAAGCCCTTCGGACCACAAGGAAACTTCTTGCCTTAGCTTTACGTTCATGGCTTAGGGTTTAGGGCTTTAGGGTTTTAGGGTTTAGGGTTTAGGAGTTAGGTTTTACGGTTCAGGGCTTGCATTGCAGTGAGGCGTTCCGGTAGACAAGTCTCGGTCTATACCTACAACAAACGATGCAACTTGCTTTAGGTAAGGTCAATCTCGAGCCAACTGCAACACATGTAATTATATCTTTGAGAAGGACTTAACGCGGCGTATGGATTCTGTTCCTGGATCCTCTTTGCAGACCCTGGCTGCCCTTCATGAAGAAGACATCGGCAACCCCAACGGAGCACACTTGGGATTCATCCTTGATGATTTTGTCGTTGCAGCCACAGTAATCCAGCTCCCAGAAGTTGACGATGTCGTCAGGTGCATACACCGTACCGACCGAGTTGTACGTGACGATGGCCCTTGCGCAGTAGTTGTCGCGGTGCCACCTGCTGCAGCAATTCTCCCCCATGACTTCAAGCTTGAAGATGAGAGTGTTACTCCAGGGGCACAAGCGAGCTACCACATCGCCGATGTCAATCACATCGCGGCGGATGCTGCTGCGTAGATCCTCCGGAAGCTTCATTCTCACCGTCTTCAACAAAGCATCTCCAACCTGGGGTCTTGCTATGGGACTTATGGACGTGTGCGTATGTATGTATGCATGCATACATACATACACGTAGTGACATACATCGAATGCAACATTCAGCTGTTGCCATAATCACCAAACCATGTTGCCTACCATGTGTCCCTATCATGGTAAGTTTTCATCACCCCCAACGTTCTGAAGCTTGAACCCTAAACCCTAAACCAGCAACCTCTGCGAGATCTGTTGAGCCCGTCTTGATTTCAATCTTCATCTGATCCTCCTCTCTGATGTCTCCTTGGTCCATTTCGGAATATTGGCTTTAATGTTTAGGGTTTAGGTGACAGTTTGGGCTTTCGGGGTATGTCTTATTGGTCTCGTTCAGGAATCTGGCTTGGGGCTTCGGTGACAGGTTGGCGTCTAATGCAGGGGCCTTAATAATCAGAAAAGGGTATATTATGCTATGATTATAATACGGCAACTAATATTTAGGGTACCCAAAACGGGACCATAACTTAGACAACTACCCAATTATTGAGGCCCCTATATGAGGGTTCTGGGATGTTGGGGGTTTCAGGAAGGCTCAGGCTCGAATTGATGAGCTCCGTTTTGAAGACCGTACTAGGAAGTCCGAACGACAAGAAGCAAAAAGGACGGTTGATGATATAAACCCTGCAATATCTTAATGACGCGAGGCTATGGGAATTATGGTACATTCCTTATTACGAGGTAATGCAGGATTTATACCATCAGCCCGGATCACTAAGATTCACCCTGTCTCCCTGCTTGACGCTTTGATCCAAGATCGCCTGGAAGTCCTTCCAGGAAGGCTCTCTCCTTGGTTCTGGTTGGGACATGGGTGGTTGTCAAAATCATGGTCCCCTTTTTGGGTCCTTAGTATAATACGGCACCTAATATTCAGGGTACCCGAAAAGGGACAATAATTTTGACAACTACCCACATTCAGTTTAAGTTAGCATGGCATAGATCTATAATATGGCAAATACTGTAGTGTGAGTTTCATTCAAAAGCCTACACCCTAAACCCTGAACCCACGGTTTCATTGTAAAGCCTAAACCCTAAACTCTAAACCGAAAAAGCCCAGTCTCTCAACAAGGAGGGCCTGGTGCTGGGCACTCTCTGGCAGAAGGAAGTCGGAGAGTGTCGTGCCCACCAACACGGTCGAAGAAGTTGCCTTTGCCGGCTCCTGGGATCTTCTTGAGGACTTTCGCTCTTAAACTACCAGAAAACCAGATAATTTACTGCTAATGCCTATGATGGTAGCTTCATGTCACTATCTTAACCATGCCCTAATTCCTAAACCCAAAACCATTAAGCAAAAACTCTGAACCCTCAAAAAGAACCAAGAGGCAGCCAGCTTCGCTCGCTTCGAGGGGTCGGACGTGACCACGTCCAGTGGCGCCAAGATGCGTGGGCCTCCATAATGTAGATTCAGTAAGCTTTAGGGTTTAGGGTTGACAAATAGAACAGGGTTCGTTTAACGGGTTCAAAAACAAGAGTACAGTATAGGAGCCTTATAATAATCAGAATGAGGCTTTGGTACAACCGATAGCTGATTCGGAAACCCTAATGATTAATATTCATCTTTACTCAGGCCTCCATAGCCGCCCATGGCATTCGTCTCAGTGACGACCTGGGGGCTTTAGAAAATGGGGGACCCTGCGAGAGAACCCCAAATAGTCGCATCGTACACATTACAAGTTACAAGGATCCCTGAATGAAGTACCCATAATTTCCAGGAGCCTCAAACCTCAAACCCTGAACCAGTGCAGAGCCCATATAACACCGTCAAAGCCAACCCTGAAGCCTTAAACCTTTAAGCCCTCAAAGGGAAACCTCAAAGAACCTTCCTTTGGCAGGAGGTAGGATTAGCGGGATTTGGGGACCGTTGGAGATCTGGACCCTCTGAATAAGGTCCCTGTTCAGAGAGAAAGTTCCCCCTTTGAGGGGTCTCCCGAAAACTACCTAGGACCCAAAAAAACGTCAATATCCCTTGCTGAAGGCACATACCTTGAATCATACTAGGGATCCTACTACAATTTAAGGAGTATTCCTTCATCAAGGGATCTCAGAGTCTCTGGGTACACCCTAAACCCATAATTAGATCCCTTATAGATCCCTTACATTCCATACTTCAGGGATACGGGAGTCTCTGGGGATTTGGGAAGCCCCCACCTGCATATCGATCACGGACAGACAGGGCAGGCTTGCCACGCAGCTGTCGACCCGTAGCGGAGCCGAAATGGCTATGTGGGATTCGTGTAGGGGGCCTTACCTGGACCCTATAAAGCCTTGCTTGTTAGGGTTCACTATTGTGACTTCCTTATATAGATCCTTAAAAAGGTAGGTTATTTGGGGTCCAGGTAAGGATTAGAATAAGGCTATAAGGGTTCCTTCGAAGGCTTCTATAAGGAGCAGTATAAGTCTAGTATAAATAATGGTCAGGAACGGTTTGGATTTATTCAAGTTTCGTTGCGCCAAGAAGATTTCAAACAGAACAGGAACCGGATCAGACTTACCATACCACAGCACGACATCTCTTTTTCAGGAGAATCCAGAATACATAACACATAGCAGCATACACGTAAAGCACACCATCGAGGGGATCGTGCAACACCGACAATGCACACACGCTACACCCTAAACCTAAGACCTAAACCCTAAACCCTAATCCTTAATCCCTGAATCCTACAGCCTAAACCCTAATCCCTAAATCCTAGACCCGAAACCCTAATCCCTGAATCCTAAACCCTAAACCCTAATCCCTGAATCCTAAACCCTAAACCCTAATCCCTAAACCCTAAAATCACAGTCCCTAAATCCTAAACCCTAAACCCTACACCCCAAGCCCTGCACCAGAAACCCTACAAGGGCGACTCTGTGGAGGGATCTGCCATCCGAGCTCCACGTTCGCGACTTCACAAACTCCTCTAGGGGCTTTAAACATTACAATAGGATTCCTGAAGGGTTCCGTCAAACGAGGTCTATAAGGGCTATTATAAGGATGTAGTATAGGGGCCTTAATAAGTAGAGTAGGGTTCCTTTGAGGGTTCCTTTTTAAAGGGTTCTACAATGGTTTTATTTCGGAGCCTTAAGAATTGGAATCGGGTTCTGGGGCATATTATACTATAGGTCTTATCAGGAACCGCCGATATTTATAAGCCCTCAATGCATATCTTGCGTCTCTGGGGCACCACGGCTTCGTGATCCAAGGCACTTGAGAGCCTGTTTCGGGTTTTATAGGAGTCTTTTCGATGTGAGTTGATCGGAGCCCTCGAAACGTGGCATGAACGCAGGTAGTATTGAGGATTTGCTTAACATACGGAATCCTATTTGCGATTACCCCACCTAGCTTCATCCCCCGCTGGAACCCTTTGAGTCAAAACATGCCGGTGCTGACATAGACGTTGCCGATCATGTGGTCGCATAGATTATCTACCACCACCAAGTCCTCACGAGGGATGATCCTGAAACATCCTGACGCTGCCTTAATGTGCCCTGCCTAGCAGGAGCTAGTACATGGGGCCATCTAGCTAGAGCAGTTGTGGGGGCAGGGGGCGCTTCGTGCTAAGTTGGACCCTTGTAGACACGACTGGGACCTGAGATGAGGCAAGCCAGAAGGACTGTTCAGAGCTCAAGGCGTGGAAGGTTTAGGGTTTAGGGTTTAGGGTTTAGGGTTTAGGGTTCGGAGCTGAATTGACTGAGACCTGTGGCTTGGAAGGATCGGGCCTGCAGCATTGAAACTCAAGTCGGGCTGGCAATTGACGGGGCTGGGTGTTTGCTAGGTAGAGTTTGAGCGTGCAATTGCAAGATTGCATCGCCGTCGTTACCCAGCTTAAGGCCCAAATCGCAAGCGTAAGTGCTTCGTGAGCACGGATCCGATGCCTTGGCCCTTACGACTCTTACGGTTTCTTCCCTGGTGCATTGTCCTACCTCTAGAGATGCTCCGAGACGCAGGCAAGCAGTGAAGAATCAACATGAAGAGGCTGTTCAAGCCCATGGTCTTGAAGCTTTGGCGTAATACATACTATATACTTTATCTGTATGTTATATCTTTTACACGAATATGTATTTGTATATATATATATATATATATATATAATGGTGCACTCAGAGGTCTAGTTTGTTGCTTTCTCTGCTGTGATTGCCCTGCTGGCAAAGCTTGGTCTAGGGCCGCACCTCTCATGCCTAACCCCTAACCCTTCAACCCTAAACCCTAAACCCAAAACCCTAAACCCGAAACAGCCCCCTGGCCCTCCTATATTAACCTACCAAAACCTACGTTGCTGCAGGGTCCGTACAAATTCCAGATTAGGGCTTTTGATAACAGCCTACAGAAAAAGTAGGGTTTGGTAGGTGAAAGTAACTAAATCGATAGGCTTGAGGGTTTGGGGTGCAGCGCTAACCCTAAACCCGCAAGCCTTAATTACAAGCCCCCCCAGTCCCCCAGACTACAAAAGAATCCCTGGTGCAACGACGTTGAGGGCTGCCCCGCGGCCTCTATGTCTACGTGCCCTGCAAACAGAATGCAGCATCCTGACCCACTTGCAGAATGCCAAGGAACTCCTAACCTCACCGGATGCTTTCAGATGTGCAATCAAAAAGCGGGGCTGACAGGAAATGTTGGGAGTTTGGTTTAGTTGCCGGTCTTCTTTGTCTTCAAAATCTTTCGAGTTACGCCTTGACAAGCCCAAAAAATGCTGAAGTGTTCGAACCCCTTAGCTCCAAGCCGTAACCGCGATAACCTGTGCGTTGGATGATCTTGGCAGCGCGGTTCCTCAATCTCCCCATAGTTGGCCAATTCCAGAAACACCTCAAGAGGGCGAAACAGCAACCTGCACCTGTCAGTACAGGGGGATCGGGAAAGAGTTTCGGGGGCCGCAGCTCCAGTAGCTATGACTTCATTGCTTGAGGATTTAGGGTTGAGGACTTGGGTGCCCTCCACCTGATATAAAGCGATACCCTAGCTGCATACCCCACCATCACGTACCAGGGCTTGAGAAATCCGGAGCTTGAATGGTATGGATTTCTGTGCGTTTGGCAGAGGTCTTGGTGATGTGTGATCTCTTACAGCTCATCTTCGTTTGGTGGGCCCGAACGCACCAAGGCATTTACCTGCTACACCCCAGACTTTGCAGTGCCTAAACTCGCCGCCAGGCGCCGAATGAAACTTGCAAATCTTGCAGGTTTAGCGCTCGCGGCTTCCATCCTTATCGTTCTCACACAAAGCTCCAACTCCCCAACATGGACTTGCTGAAAACCCTCTCACTCCCCCGTGTGCTTGAGCTTCAATGGCTTTTCGTCTTTCACCTGCCACTTGGTGGTACCTGAACTTTCCGTTGCCGTTTCCTGGTCGGATCTCTGATACCTGTGCTGTGCCTCTGAAGTCCTTAGTGACTCATCTTCCGAGCACTTCGTGGTACCTGAACTTTCCTTGGTTGGGGGCCCTGGCCGGTGCCTCATGAGCCTGGTGGCATGGGTACCTGAAAAAGTCCTTAGTGGGTTCTCCAGTTCTCCATACCTGCGACTCCATGGTACCTGAACTTTCCTTAGTTGATTCCCGGGGATCAAGGCCGTGTCAGTGCAGATCGGGGTACCTGAGAGTCCTTAGTGCCTTAGTGCTCTTGATACCTGCGATGTCACCGGTTTGGTGGCCCTTGGTTTTCCTTAGCTCCAACTTCTGCTCTTCTTCGTCGGTTTCTGTCCTTAGAGTACCTTAGTTGAGGGATCCTTAGCTCTCCCTGCCATTCCTCAGCTCGGACTAAGTCCCTGAACACGGAAGATCCTTAGTGTTCGCACATGTTCCTCGGTGGAATCACTCGGCAGTGCGTCACGAAGCTCGTCCCGCACCTACCCCTCGGTATACCAAGCGTGGCCGCCGAATGTATCTGCGATCCCCGCACCTCCACATAGAATGCCTCCAGGTGAGCTTGAGCGCGATCGTACCTGGAACGTCCGGCTTGAACCCTAAACCCTAAACATCGAAACGGTGATCTCATCCTAAGGTGCTTGCTCAGGCTATGCTTCTCAAACTACCTAAGAGTCTCAGTGTAAACCAAAGCAGCAAAGCAATGAAGCCAACATCTTACACTTATAAAGCCTGAGAAAGAAACTACCCCTGAACCCTAGACTGCGCACGACTGATTCATCTCCCTCCCAAAGAGAGTTTAGGTTTGAGGACACATAAACCCTAAACCCTAAACCCCTAAACCCTAAACCCCTAAATCCCTAAACCCCTAAATCCCTAAACCCTAAACCCCTAAATCCCTAAACCCCTAAATCCCTAAACCCTAAAGCCCTAAACCTGAGACCTCTAAACCGTAAACCCAGTACTACGTCCTTGGGTCTGCTCATGGTTCAAGGGATTTTTATCCAAATTAGAACGGGGTTCCGTTAAAGGGCTCCTTTGAGCTTGACTGTAAGGGATTCTACGGGTTCTATGATCTGGGGACCTCAATAATAGAGCAGGGCTTCAGAGTATAGAGCAAATAGCATAATTCTAAAAGGGAGCTTAGGGTTTAGGTTGAGATACTATGCTGTCAGGCTTAGGGAAGTGATGAGGGTTTGTGGACACGGAACTTGTGATACGTGGAAATATACAATCTAGGACTTAGGTTGGGATACTACTGCAGGGCTTAGGGGTTTGTGGGTACGGAGTTTGGGATACACGGAGGTCGGTCTGAAAAATTGGCCCGTGCTGGATCCCTTGTACCGCCCACTCCGGATTTTGGAAGCCTCAACAAGTCTCAAGGGATGAGCGTGTCTCATCCGGTACAGAGCTGGCACTAGACAAGACGGTTGCAGCTGAGACTGTCCTACACCACGATACCTTTGCAATGGTAGCTGTACTCTCCAATGTACTTCCTGTTTTCAGGTTGGCCGATTTGGTGGTGAGGTTCCTACAATGAAGAGAAACCAGGTTGCACAACGAGGCACTACACCGCATAAGACGGGTGCGCTCTCTCTAGGAGCTTCAGAATACCTGGGATCCGAATACAAAACTCAACTACCAGACTTCAGATACCGATTCAGGGTTTAGGGTAGAGGGTTTAGGGTTTATAGTCTCTAACCTACCCTTCAGAAACTCCACATCTAGAGCTACAAGCATGCTTGGGGCTTTAGGAGCCGTAGGGCTGGCATTCAGAGGTTTCTGTCGCTTCCCATCAACCCTAAGGCCTAAACCCTGAACTCTCTAAACCCTAAGGGCCCTAAGCCCTAAACTCTAAGCCCTGAACTCTAAATCCGAAGATCTCTAAACCCTAAGCCCCCAACCCCAACCCTGCGGATCCCGAAGCTCCCCAGCTCTTCATCCCTCTCCACCACTTGGAGGCTCATGTAGTTATAACCCCACGGGCCCAAAGTCCTAAAGAACCTAATAGTTAGGTACTTGGGTTTAGGATAGTAGGTATGTAGTGTCATGTGTTGGAGAGTATATGAATATTAACAACTTGGACCCTTGGGGTAAGTGGGGTTCTAAGTCCCCGAATATGGGTCATAACTATAGGTACCCTGCTTGTAACATCCACTTACAACTACCCGTGAACCTCCAAGCACCACCTCCCAAACCGGTCGCCCCTTTTTTCTCTCGGGGCTTGTTTTGAAGCGATGGATTCACAAAGCTGCTGCGGCAGAGAAGAGTAAAGCGCATTGGGGCTGAGGGAGACCAGCTATAGGTGTCACCGTAAAAAACGAAAACCTACATATCATTCACAAGCCTGGCACCTGCCTACGTGTGAAATTGCCGGCTCCACAGTCAGAACTGAAATAGGTTTTAGGGTTTAGGGTTTGGGGTTCAGGCTTTAGGGTTTGGGGTTAGGGTTTAGGGTTAGCACGATGAACGTACAGATCGTGTAGACCACCAATATATGCTAATGGCATGAAAGGGTTTCTTTCGCTGCCAGGGCACCCTAAAGTACTCTCAAGTCCCTGGCTCGTCGGGATGCAGGTTACACAAGATAGCAGATAGTTCGGGGATTCTATGTGAGCCTGAAACCGAGGCATCATGAGAGCCTGCATGCATTCCAAGCGCTTCTCAGCTAGGATTTGGCAAGTAATGTTTGGAATGGTTTGGGTTGAGGGTTTAGTGGTTCAGCGGCACGAGCGCAGCACTGCAAGTTCCGGATGTCTCACCGTCAATCCATTGTCAACCTCGGCACGATAGTCGTTGGTCCACGTCTCATGCAGCCATCTTACGGGTTTGTATTGGTCCAGGGTTGCTGGGCGCGACCCTATGAACCTAGTGAGTTGTAAACCCGAAGCCCGTGCGTTGCGAGCAATATGAAAGCTGCAGGGATTAGGGTTTAGGGTCTGGGGTGTTTTGGTGAATGAAGGGCTGGTTGCAAGCCCCTGATTCATAGGCCCATCACCACCATCACACCCAACATAGCTGGCAACTTACATAGATACAAAACTCTCTATAATAGACTCTATAAGGAGGCGACTTCATCATTCAAGGGCCCCACCCCGAAACCCTAAACCCCCAAAACACAAAACAGACACACAGCACTTTCAAGGGTTAAATAAAGGTTTTGGTTTACGGGGCCGGCTTATGGCGCAAAGGCTGAAGAGTAGAAACCTCAAGCTCTCGACCCTAAATCCTAAAGCCTTACCTTAACCCCAAATAACCTACCGTTTTAAGGACTTATATAAAGAAATCATATTAGGGAACCCTGAAAAGGTAGGTTCCTTAGGGCCCAGGTAAACCCTGGAATCCCACTCTGCTAGAGGCTCCAAACACCCTACAGGCCCCAAACCCTGAACCCCAGAGCACTACACCCCAAGCCCCAAACCTTGAAACCCTCTACTTAAAGGGTCATGGGACTTAGTCAGTAGGGTTCTAATTAAGATAACTATACTTATTTTTACTTATAACCCCAATTAAGGTACTTATAACCGTACTTACTAAGTCCCATGATCCTCCAAGTAATCCTTGAAACAAGGCTTAGATGGAGCCTTGGTAAATTTCCAAGGGCTCTAGAAAAATCTCTGAAGACAGGATCCTCCCCTCGACCCATGCTATGCACCCTCAATGTGCCTACTTGGAGGTTCATGGGTGGTAACAAGTGGGAGCTCTAAGTAGGGCAACTTTTGTTAGAACCCATATTAAGGGACTCACCCACCCCTAACGCTCTACCACCCATGAACCTCCAAGTATATCCGACTCGCTGACGGTCTTTGCGGGCTTAGCATTGGGGGGGGTCTCTGAAGCTGAAACTGCCTCAAACGTTTCTAGGGTGTTCGGTTAGACCCCTAAGGTTTCAAACGAGGCATAAATAACCCTCAGCCCCAAACCCTCAAATTACGGTCGCAGCCCGCGCCTGCGTCAAAGCCGGTGTCCAGCAATGCCAGCGCAGCCTCTCCACGGCGATCAGGGCTCCAAAAGTGAGACATATGGGTGGTTGTCAAATCATGGTCCCTCTTTGGGTGCCCTAACTAATAGATGCCGTACTATAATAAGGACCCAAAAAGGGACCCTAAAATTGAAAACCACCCATATGGGTGGCGGTCCAAATTATGACCTCTTCGGGGGTTCCTGAATATAGCACGGAACCGACTATTTTGGGTATCCAAAAACGGACCCTAGTTTTGATAACCACTCAAAAAGAAACGGACATCAGCATAAGCAGTTTAGAGGGTTCTCCCTACCTTATCACTACCCATAGGCTCCATAGTAGTTCCTTTCTGGGTTTACCTTACAGGATTCTAAATATGAGCCCCAAAAAGGAACCACTATGGAGCCTCTGGGTACACCAGGGGAGATATCCCTATCCTAGCTTTTGCTTGCCTGCCTTCTTGGGCCTCGACGACTGAAGGATCCTAAACCCCTAAACCCCTAAACCCCTAAACCCCTAAACCCCTAAACCCTAAACCCTAAACCCTAAACCCCTAAACCCCTAAACCCTAAACCCTAAACCCTAAACTGAAGCATGGGACGCGGCCCTAAACCCTAAACCCTGAGCCCTAAACTTACCTTTGGTTACTTGGAGGGTCGGGGGACTTAGCAACCCTAAGCCCAGCCACCTTGAAACCGAAAGCAGAAGCACCACCAGCACCCCCCAAGTACCCTTAAAGGGCTCTAATCTTTCTCATTCTGTAAGAGGTAATTAGAGACTGCAATAGAGAGTAGTTGGGGGGTCTAGGCAATTCCCGAACCCTTTCCTGTTCATACCATAACCGCACCTCGCGAACTGCCGAAGGCAACGTCTCCAGCTCGTTTCGCCAAGTCGCCACAGCGTCAACGAGACGATGCCTCACGGGATTCAGGGTTTAGAGCTTCGGGTTTAGGGGTTTAGGGTTTAGGGGTTCATTAAGGTTTAGGGGTTCAGGGTTTAGAGCTTCGGGTTTAGGGTTTCGGGGTTTTGAGATGAGGATACCCTTACTTCTCGGGTGAAGGCTTTGCGTAGGGTGCATGGACCCTCAGTATGCGTGCACCGCGCCAGGGGGTGCATTGGGTCGTCCGGCTGGTTGTTGCGGAATCTGGGCTGCAGAATTCTTTAAGTCACAAGCCTTGAACCTGACGCCCTGCACGCTAAATCTCGAACCTACCTTAAAGCCAAGGGTTTATAATATTGCAGCCTCAAACTTGCTGCCAGCCCTGAACCCTCGATACCACATACATCCCGACCTCAGCTGCCCCAGGGTTTAGGGTTTAGGGGATTAGGGTTTAGAAATTTAGGGTTTAGGGGTTTGTTTCTTTGGGGCCCCAGCTACGCGCAAAACCTTACCCCAACAAGCTCGCACGAGTGCGACTCGGAGAGGCCCGCACCCGGGAAGCAGGTGCAGCGGAAAGTGCTCCTGCACCAAGTAGCCCAGAGACTCCAATATCCCTTAGTCAAGGAATAGACCTTAAATCATAGTAGGAGCCCTAATGTGATTCAAGGTATATTCCTTAATTAGGGGATATTGCAGTCTCTGGGAGCGTAGGCTCTTTTTTCTAAGACGGGCCCAATCGAAATCAGAACGTCTGTGTTAATAGCCTCCAGAAACAACAGAGGTCATGGTGATAAAAGCGGCCTCAATAATTACCTCTACTATTTTGGTGGCTCCTTACTATAAATATAGTATACTGGGCCCCAAAACCCTATTCTAATTATTGAGGCTCCTACACTATACTACCCTTATAGTTATCCCCTATAGTAGCCCTTATATAGATCCCTTTCAAAGAACCCCAAACCCTATAGGCCCTATTCTAACTAGTGAGGCCCCTACATACATAGAACCCTTATGATGCCTTATAGTAGCCCTTATAGACCCCTTTAAAGGAACCCCATTATTCTAAAAATGAATCCTGCATTCCTTTAGAACCAGGCTCTGGGTTTCGGGGTTCAGGGCTTTGGGCTGCAGGTCATCAAGGGCTTGAAAAGGAGGCGCTGTGAGCGCAGGGAGCCGGGGTCTAGGGCTTAGGGGTTTAGGGGTTTAGGTGCTTGGGGTTTAGAAAGACTTGTGGTTCATGATCCTGAACCATCAACCCTGAACCCCTAAACCTAGCTCATGAGTCATGTCCAAACTTCCACGGAGCAACCAGGCTTCCTTTTGAAGCACTCTGAACCTCATGCACCAAACGGGGCCGTAGATGGGTAGTGCTCTAAATTACGGTCGCTTCTAGGGTGCCGTACTATTTAGGGGACCTACAAAGGGTCCCCAATTTGGAGCGCTACCCAGAAACCATAATTATGGGATTGGGCTCGCCGACGGTCTTTTGCAACCTGCTCCGAAACCGTGGCATATATGATCTCGGTTCGGCCGGCCCCCCCCCCCCCTTCCCCCCCCAATGGTTCCTCCTCCCCCGCGTGGTGTGGTGTGGTTGTGGGTTGCTTCGCCCTCCCTGTGGTGTGGTGTGGTGTGGTGTGGTTCGGCGCGTTGCAGGCCCACCCCTCCTTGGTATGCCCCCCCCCCCCTCCCCCCAAAGCCAGGTGGGGGGGGAGGGGGGGCCTAGCAGCGCTGCACCATATGTGGTCCGACACCTCGCCGTAAGCCTGCTTAGAGCCGACAGTATGGCGTTGATCTGCTACAGGCCGCGTGGAGGTGCCACAGGTGTTGGAATATGGTTTTGGGGCACTGTTTATATTATCTTCAGGAGCTCCAAGAAGAGAATTCCTACCGTGTATTTGGGCTTCGACATGAGCTGTTTGAGTTGTGCAAGCCCCTGGTGAAGCTGAAAGGCGAAACCGCTCATCTTAGTTGGTATTCTCCTACACCCTACACCCTAGATCCTGAACCGTGACCTCTACACTCTAAACCCTAAACCCTAAACCCTAAACCCTAAACCCTAAACCCTAAATCTTATAAACCCTAAACCCTAAACCCTAAACCTAAATACTACGCCTACGCCCAAACACTGTACTCTACACCCTAAGCCCTAGCTGTCTTAGCCGCCCTTAGAACCCGAATAAAGATAATTTTCTTATTATTCCCTTAAGTTATAGAGTTTAGGGTTTAGGGGTTTAGGGTTTAGGGTTTAGGGGTTTAGGGTTTAGGGTTATATTATAAGAAAAACGAACCAGAATTCCTAAGAGCAGTAAAGATTCAGGCCCCTAGCTTCGCTCCTTGCCAGAGCTCCCCTCGGTCAAGGTCTTGAGTAGGATCAAAGCTTCGGCCTGTCTGAACTGTCTTTGCAGGGCTCTGAAGGGTACTAAAGGGTTCCTACAAGGGCGACGATAATTATAAGGGTGATACAGGGGGTGATACAGGGGGTTCTATGAGGGGGGTTTAGGAAAATTAAGGCGCAGTTTGGGACCATGGCTTTTGGGAGTGTTGAGTTTGTTAAGGTCTTCGGGCATTTAGGTTTTCAGTAAATACCAAGGACCAATATTCAGGCGCACCAATACAATTCAAGCAGAAAGCCCTTCTCCGGAATCTGAAACGTGAAACCCTGAACCCTAAACCCTTAGCAAGTCTGGAGTGCATGAGTGGGGGATACTACACCGTTGTCCCAACCCCCGAATGTCTAAAGCTATTCCATGAACGATAAAGCTTGGGTTGGAGCTCTTGCGAAGCTTCAGCCAAGCTCGCCTGACCCAGCTGTAAGAAACTATGGAGACCTCAAGCCATATCAAAGAACTCCGACGACCCTACATCGAAAATATGACTGAAACAAACTGAGTTGTCCTTCAAGCCTTTGAAAATCATGTACAATTATGGTTCTCTACCAAATAGTAGGGGAAATTAAAAAAGATCCCAAAGGACAACCCAGCAAACTGCCCTCCTCATCCCTGAGACACCAGTCGCGCCTGTCGGAGAACCTCCTCCAACTGTGAATCATCCGGGGCTATATTTTGCCCACACTGCGTCCGGAGATAAGCAATGACCTCCGGAGGTTGGGATCTAGGAGACGGGATGGGAAGTTAGGCTTTGTGGACTCCGGGAGTTTCTGGGGATTCCCTACACAAATAAATATACTACTTAGCTGGGGGTTCATGGATAAGTGGGTTATACAAGCCCCCTACCATGGATTATATGTGCCCTAACATGGGTTATAGCTGCAGTTATCCTCCTTCTAACCCTCATAGATAGCTACCCATGAACCTCCCAGGGTAACCCTAAACCCTAAAACCTAAACCTGTCCATTTTGTGTCTCTAAAATGAACCGCTGCTTCGCTGCATTCGAGGTTACAGGCTCTGCAGGGCCCTAGGCAATACAAGCCGTAAACCTGCAAGAAAGCCCTTACAAAGTCTCAGCCTACCTTCTCTTAAAGCTCCTTCAGAGAACTGAACCCTAAGGCATAATGCAGACCCTAAACAACAGGCTCCTGATTGTAAAGAACCCGATACAACCATAAGCCCATAAGACCTGTCAAAAAACTAGGACAGTAAACCCTAAACCCCTAAACCTAAAACCCGAGACCTAAACCCTAAACCCATCTAAACCCTGAAGCAAGAACCCTACATACTTGGATAGCTGTCAAAATTAGGGTCCCTTTTTGGGCACCTTAAATCTTAAGTGCCGTATTAGAATAGGGGCCCAAGAAGGGGACCCTCATAGTGACAACCACCCACAAGACAGGGCAAGAGAACCATACTTGAAGGTTCATGGGTAATTAGTTACAAGTGGGGTTAAGAGTCCCAACAGTCCCTTAATATGGGTTATAAGTATAGCTACTCTACTTATGACCCTACTTATAACTACCCATGAACCTCCAAGTAATCCCACCTCCAGGCATCGACTCCTTGAGGACTGCGCGTCCTCCATCACGGACTCCAAGAGTCGCACCTCAACTCGGAATTTTTCGGGCATTGGGTTTAGGGTATAGGGAAGAGGGTGTAGAGTTCAGGGTTTAGGGAAGCGTCGTTCTATTACGGAAATCTTCGGAACCTCTCCTATTATCCTGTCCTGACATTCTCCTGCTTCGGGGTAGTTTCTTGTTCAATGCCTAAGCCCTAGTCACTCGTCACTAGTCCTACTGTAACATCGTAAGTATACTTCAAGCCAAAAGGAGCCTCCTAACTAGCACAAGCTGTACTGCCAAGGCACCGCATCCGTCGGGGTGAGCCAGACCAGAATGACGGCAATGTCCTGCTGGGAACAGAGTTGAGGGTTTGGGGAGGGTGTGGAGTTAAAGGCTTAGACTTTAGGGGTTAGCAACAGGTTCTGGCGGATGATGGAGGGTACTGACAAAGTTGAGCAGAAGAGACGAAGATGAAGAACGCATCTAAGAACAAAGCCGCTGCTTCGGTTACCGACCATAGCAGTGGCAAATGCACATGCAAAAACGATAGTAGTAGTGGTGATGATGATGGGGATCATGATAACGGTGATGACGATGATGATGATGATGACAGTAGATAGAAAATACTAAGTGGTGGTGGTGGTGGTGGTGGTGGTGGTGGTGGTGGTGGTGGTGGTGGTGGTGGTGGTGGTGGTGGTGGTGGTGGTGGTGGTGGTGGTGGCAGTGGTGGTGGCGGTGGTGGTGGTGGTGGGGGTGGTGGTGGTGGTGGTGGTGGCGGTGGCGGTGGCGGTGGTGGCGGTGGTGGTGGTGGCGCTGGTGCTGGCGCTGGGGCTGGTCTGGCGCTGGTGCTGCAGCGCTGTGCCGGAGATGACCCTTAAAAAGATAATGAACAAGATAGTGACACTGAAGATAAGTGCGCCGAAGAGAAGGACGATGATGATACTCAATCTAGGAGCCTTAACAATTGCAATAGGGCTCCGTACTATAACTTTAAAATAATATACCCCCCTCCCTATTCAAAGTATTACGGCCCCTATATTACAGCCTAAGCCCTACAACCCTAAACCCTAAACCCTGCACGCTTCCCCCTACACTACAACCTAAACCCTAAACCCTCAACCCTAAGCCCTCAACCCTACACCCTAAACTCTACGTACACTCTAAACCCTACACTCTACACCCTAAACCCCAAACTCTCGCGGGGGTCCTGCACAGGACGTCCTGCTCGAAAAGCGACCAGGGAAGCCCTGAAGCAAGGGTTGGAGGGCCTTTAGGATTGTGGTTTAGGGTTTAGGGTTTAGGGTTTAGGGTTTAGGGTTTAGGGTTTAGGGTGTAGGGTCAAACCCGAAACCCTAAGCGGAAACAAGGGCCCGAGGGCCTTAGGATTTTGGGGTTTATGGCTAAAGTTTCTTTTGCACCAGACCCGAAGCCCTAAACCGTAAATCCAGTATAAGGTTTAGGGTCCTTCTGGTTTCGGGCTCGAAACTTCAGGGCTTCTGGTGCTTTTGCTCGTTTTTAGCTTGCATGAAACCATGAGGCCTTTATCTGCTTTTTTCCAAAGGCGTCAACTAAAGCCCGGCAAAGTTAATGTAGGGCCTTGTTTATTGGAATAGGGTTTTGGGGGTTCCTTAGTATACCTATAGTATACAGTGGCCTCAAGTTGCGACTTCAGGAGGCCGATCATTGCCTGGACATGCTGACATGCTAAAGCCTATATCCTACACAAGCACACGCTTGGGGCACACCTGCTTGCCACAGAGCGCGTGATCATATCGAATGCGCTCCTTCAACTGATTGCACACTTGTTTAGTGGCAATGCTAGTGCCTCGGCACGGCTTCTGCTTCTGGCAGAACGGCGGCTGGTGCTACTGGAGCTGCTGGAGGAGCTGCTGGAGCTGCTGCTGGCGGCCTTGGCCTTCGCCAAGGCCCTCTCCTTCGCTTTGGCACGTGCAGCTGCCTGACCACGTCACAAAACTGCTCGAAAGAATCTGTTAAGCCGCCTCGCGTGGAAGACCGACCGGGATGCTTTCAGCCACAACATCCACAAGAGAGAGAGAGAGAGAGTGTGTGCCAAAATGACACGAGGCCAATGACCCTAGAATGTTCAAGATGCGTTTGTAAATGCAACAGTATAATATACCCCCAAACCCTATTCTAATGATTAAGGCCCCAATATTATGCAAGCAGGGGCCCCACAAATACCCTAACCCTAAAGCCTTACGAATCGGGTCTAAGGGCCGTGACCGTCAGTTTGCAAGTCCGGGTTGTATCAGGCTTAGGGTTATGTGGTTTAAGGTTTAGGGTTTAGGGTTCTAGGGCTAGAGAAGTTAATCATCAGTTAGGGATTGAATGCAATATAGCGTTTTATGTGCTTTAAGACAGGGGCCGTAAGAATTGTACTCGACTTCGACAAATTGAACTATATGCCAGTTCGATTCTTGATGGACTACAACCGGATACTGTTTCTTTTTGGTTTAGGCCACTATTAGAAGGTCTCTTCTCTACTATTTGCTTAAGAAACCACCAAAAAATAAAAATAATAATCCCCATATTACCCCCATAAGGAATATATTTTTTATTTTTTGGGGGTTCTTAAGCAAATCTCGCTCGGGCTTTAACCCGCCTCTGGGGGCTTAGGCTTCATGGTTCAGATGCCTTTCCGGGCAGGCAGCCGGACAGACACAAGTGCACACATAGACGGGATGTAAACATGCAAACATACCGAATCCGGTACTGCCTGAAAGCCAGATGCATGTTACAAACACAGACAAGCGTGTGCACGCATCCGCATACATATGCAATCTCAGACAACATTTTTTGCAGTTATACACAAACACACAAACCCAGATTATGCGGGCATGTATGCACGTACGTATGTATGTATGTTAATGTAGTTAGGTAGGTAGGCAGGTAGGTGGGTCAGTCGGTTGGTAAGTAGGTACGTGTGGTTTATGTGGGTTTACGTTATGTGCAATTCTCAACCTACCTCCCCGTGCCAACCCCCAAACCTTGAATCCGAAACTCAATAACACCGGATCCTAGACACTGAACCCCAAACCCGAAGCCCGACACCTAGACCCAAGAGTAGCCTCGGAATAAAAAGGGTGCCCTTTTTGGTTTAAAGGGGCTTATAAGGGAACCTGAACCCTTAAACAGGGAATAAGGGCCTACTCTAGGTCCGAGGCACCCTAAACCAGACTAGAAACCCTAAACCCTAAACGACCCAAAACCGAGCCTCAATGCCAGCTCCGAGGGCGTTGCGCCGTGCGAGTTAAGTTCCGCCACGCCAGCAACAGCCCGCACCAGCCCTGAGATTGTGGATTACCTATAGTCTCCATTGTAGTTCCATTTTTTGGTTTCACCAGTTATATAGTAAGCATCCTGTAAGGTAACCCCAAAAACGAACGAAAATGGAGACTATAGGTACTATGAAAATACCAGAAGGATTAGCGTAAGGAACATTAATTGTGAGGAGTACTGTAAGATGTTTGAATATAATATTGATAGGCATTACTACAAGAGGTACTACAACAGCGAGTACAAGGGTACTATAACCCGGAGGGTCCAGGTACCCAAATAGTAGGGTTCTAGGTCCCAAAACCCATACTCTGAGTGGTTTTTGGACCTTGAAACCCTACTATTTGGCTACTTGGATCCTTAGGGTAAGAGGATTGGAAGGTTGAGGGCCTGGTTTTCAAAGTGTGCATTTAGGGTCCAAGGTGAGGTTTAGGTTTGAGGGTCGGGGGTGGTCAACGAACTTGAGGATTCAAGGTCGTGGGTTTAAGGCTTTACATTACAGAGGGCACAACACCGACTGCCACAGAAGCTTCATGAAAGTATCTTTTAAAGGCTTCGTTTGGTGCAGAAGGAAGACCATTCCCTGATCAATCACGCCGTTGAAGAGGGTGAGCGGGTTTGTCAGCTTTAGATCGTTGCCCTCAGGAATGACCTCGTATGGAGCAGCTGCCATGGATTCAGGATGCCTTACACTTACGTCCTGCGGCATGTCGCCACCGTTCAGTCGCACGGCGCTGGGCCATGTCTCTTTTGACGTGTGGTCCCAGGCATATTCAAGACGGCCGTCTATAGCAGCCCACTATAAGGTCCATGGACATCCATCCCAGGAGGCAGTTCGCCGAGTAGACGGTAAGCGGTGGCGGGTACAGTTGCCACCGAAGTTTCGGACAAAGTCCGTCGTCTTCTTCGGCCACGGACCCTTCGCAAGCCTGAAGGTGCTGCACATCAAAGGTCAGGGTCCGTCTCTTCTGCTCACGGGTCCCTCGGAGGAGCTTGGCATTTCGCAAATTCTCATCCGTAGAGGGCATGATGAGAACTCGCTCCCCATGCTTTAGCCGAGCCCTGGCAAAAAACAGCAAACCTTCTCACAGACCCAGACGGCAAATATCTGCGGAAACTACAGTTTGGAACAAGTGCGCCAATTAGCAAGAAAACAATGCAAGTTTTAATGCTTGTGAAGGCCTCTATGTTAAACTGATTCCAGCCTTGCCACTCCCAGCTCTTCCTCGCTGTGGCCCAAACACAGTAGTCAGTGCAGGGCTTCACGGCTTAAGGCCTTCAAGCTAAATCAGGGAGACCCCAAGTATTCGGGACGCAACTGCTCACAAAACTTACTAAAACCGAGCCCCAGACCCTCAAACCCTGAAACCTAAACCTTGAAACATTGAAGCCTGAAAACCAAAGACCCTAAGAGCCCTACAAACTACAACTCTGAACCCTAACCTCTAAAAGCATATAATCCCTATACAAAATCCTTCTGCAGGGAGCCCTTGAAAGGTACCCTGACAAATTAAACCAAAAACTCAATGTTGGTGTCAAAGAGCGGAGAGATTCAGAAGCCGGGCTCGTGCTCGCTTTTCTCAGAACCTCCCGGATAGGCGGCTTTATATGGGTACCCAAAAAGGGACTCTAATTTTGACAACTAGCAAGTATGTAGGGTTTTAGGATTGGGTTCTCATACCCTGCCAAGTGGGTGGTTGTCAAAATTATGGTCCCTGTCTGGATCCCTATCATAATACGGCACCTCACATTTAGGGTACCCAAAAAGGCCTAATCTTGACAACTACCCACATGGGGTTGGGGGTATGGGGTTTGGGATTTGGGGGCATAGGGAAAGCATGAAACTAAACGCTTGGAGCTTAGGTTGCACGGCTTCTCCGCACACTGGCTACCTCGAGCCCCACAAGTATCAGCCCCTCCCCTGATACACCTGCAACAATCTCATGAGTTTATGTACGCCTTTAGTATGGATAAGGTTTAGGCTTCAGGGTTCAGGGCTTGAGCCGTGCAAGCTTCTGCCACGAACAGAACCCTCATAAGCAACAACAACTCAAACAATGCCATTATTGACATACTGTTGTAACCGACATTCTGGGAACTGGGAACTATCTGCTCATCAGTGTCCATGACGCTTCTTCTCATCCTGATCTCTTGTGTATTTTCTCACACTTGAGCTGCTGCCGATAGCTCTGGTCTTGAAGCACCGCACCCTAAAACCCACACAGACCCCTGTGCAGCAACCACCATAACGCCCTTCGGAACCCTTGATGGAACCCGAAACTCTACTTAAGAACTCCTGTGGACACTGAACCCTAGATACTAAGCCACAGTCATGCAACACACACGGGTCCCTAAAGTTATCCTGAACCTCAAGAACCCCCAAATCCTGAACATGTAAAAACTAAACCCGTCCGCAAGCCCACACCCCGAAGACCCCGAAGCCCTGTTGATCATGAAGCCATTGCCTCCAAACCCCTCTCACCTCCAAACCCCAAAACTTCGTAGAGACACCGAGCCCCTAAACCCTAAACCCTAAACCCCAAAACTTCGTAGAGACACCGAGCCTCTTCTGCTAAGTCCCGCGGGGGGGCGCCCTCCAGGCCAGGGCAGAGCCTAGGCAAGAAGCGCAGACTTTGGGTTTAGGGTCTAGGGTTTGGGGTTTAGGGTTTAGGGTTCAGGTTCAAGGTCTTTTTTAAACCCTACACCCTAGACTGCCCTAAACCCTAGTCCCTGAACCCACTCTACACCATAAACCTTACTAATCCTGAACCCCGAACCCTCTCTACGCTTTACAACACAAGGTCTGTGTGATTTCTAATAGACATTGCAAGAGCTAGATGGGTGGTTGTCGAAATTAGGTCCCTTTTCGGGTACCCTAAATAATAGGTGCCGTATCATAATAGGGACACAAAAAGGGACCATAATTTTGACAATGACCCAGATTAGTTCTGATGTATCCTGGATCAGGTAGAGGGCGCAAGCTTGAGGCGAGGCAACCTGAACGGCCTCATCGCCAGAGAAAAGACGGTTTAAGCTGCAAACAGGGTAGAAACAACTAAACCAAATACCGTACCCTAAGGCCCCATAGTATGTAGTTCCTTTTTGTGGCTCATATTTAGAACCCTAAAACGTAATCCCAAAAAAGGAACTACTCTAGGGCCTTAGGGTAAACTCTAAACCCTAAAATCCCGAACCTTTCAGGTTTACTTTGAGGTTCATGGGTAGCTATAAGTAGGGTTATAAGTAGAGTAACTATACTTATAACCCATATGAAGGGACCAATAACCCCACTTATAACTACCCATGAACCTCCAAGTGGGCCCTAAACCCTATACCCTTATAGAATCCCTATAGATTCCTTTAAAAGGACCCTTAAAGGAACCCCTATAACTACCCATGAACCTCCAAGTATGGTTTAGCACCCGAGGAGCTGATAGACAGCCAGCAGCGCAGCAGACTTGGGCGCTTCATCGATGTTCCTGGCGATTCTAACAGGGTTTAGGGTTTAGGGTTCTTTTAAGTGGAGTTACGAGTTTCTCGATGGGTTTAGTCCGAGTTTAGGGCTGACAGGTGTTGATAGAATAGGTTTATAGAAGTTTTAACTAGGGGTTAGAGTGTTTAGGATTGGGGAGGGGGTGGGGGTCAAAAAAGGATCTAGGGGTTTGGGGTGTGGGGCTGTCTCAACTAGGGCTGATGGTGAGTGTTTGGGGGGGTGAATATTTTGGGCTTTGGGGGTTGATGAGGCCCCACACAACCCCAGCCCGTCCAGGCTGTAGCTGCAGGGTTTGGGGTTAATTACGAGGCTTGAGGTTTAGAGTTTTGGGGAATTGCGGTGTGGTGGTATTGAAAAGAACCTGCCTCTGAACCACCTGTAGGCTACCCATTTTAGTATAGCCTGTTCGGGTATCAACCACGACAACGCAGACTACAACACTGAAAATGAAGTGCAGGCCTCCAAGGTCAGAAGTTGACAGCCCTGCTCGGAGAAGCTCCAGAAACGCCATTAACCTTACCCCGAAATCGGAAACCCTACCTGGTCGGTCTTGGCATTGGCCAAGCACGACATGCAGCCCCGCACCCTGAACCCTCGGCCCTTCAAGGTTGTTCGGGGCTTGAGTACCTATAATTGTACCCCATTCCTCCATTCCCTAGCACTTGGAGGGTCGGGGGACTTAGTAAGTAGGTAGTAAGTAGACTTGTAAGTACCCTAAAAGGGACCCTAATTGGGGTTGTGGTACTTATAAGTCCCTAAAATAGCCAGTTACTAAGTCCCCCGACCCTCCAAGTAACGAAAGGTAAGTTATAGGATTATTAAGGCCCTCATATTATAGATCCCTTATAGTAGCCCTTATAGACCCCTTTAAAAGGCCCCTTTAATTCCCTAGTAACCAAAGGTAAGAACAGTAAAGCCCCACACCCCACCCCGACCTCCTCCGTGGTTTCTGCCGCACGGGACTCTCCTCAAAGTCGGCCAAACTTCGGATCCTGGGTTCTTCTTGTTCTTCTGCAGGGCATGAGGGGCTTCGAAACCCTCCGGGCACATGGCCCCCCCCATATGTTATGGGGCTTTAAGGGAGTCTGGGTTCTTCTCTCGGTGGGACTCTGGTGCGTCCTGACCAGAAAGTACTGCTGTGCATGAGGACATATGGGTGGTTGTCAAAATTAGGGTCCCTTTTTGGTTACCCTAAATGTTAGGTGCCGTATTATAACAAGGATCTTAAACGGGAGCCTAATATTGACAACCACCCATATGACTTTGGTGTCTTTTCAACTTCGGTCCTAGATCACTGGCCCATCGAAGATGCATGGCGATAATCTTCTGTCTGCTATCGGAATTCTCGTTAACATCGGCACCATCATCATCATCGTCATCATCATTATCGTCACCATCGTCGTCATCATCACTATCAGCGTCATCATCATCTTCTTACTATTATATTCTTGAACCATTAGCAACTAGAAACCTTCAAAGCACGAGTATCAACACTCAATGATGGTGCATCATGCCCTGCCACGTGGAGACAGAACTAGCACCATTGCAAAACTAGTTAGTTCGCAGCAAGGTAACAAAAGCCGCTTGCGGACAGTACTGGCAATGACAACAGAATACGATCCGTGACACCGTGGATCATAGTAGCCGATATGGCACGTATGGAGTGACTTGCACCCAATCCCTAAGCCCGAAACCCCCGAACCCTAAACCCAAACCATAAGCCCTACCCGAAACCATCGCCGTTCGACCCTAAACCCTAAAAGAAAGGGACAGCCAAGCAGCTGGGTTTCGACGAGGCGAACTGCCTCTGCCTGAGTGCCGCAGTTTGCCAGCGCAGTGGCAACGTATAGGGTTCATAGAGTTTAGGGCTCACGGGTTTGGAGTTTTTTGGTAGCAAAGATCTAGAAACCCAGAATTACAGGGTTTCTGGATTATTTTGAGGGATTCAATTTCTCGGACGGCTTGCTGTACTTCGCAGGATCTTCCTCGAACCCACATGGCCAAGCCCGTAACCCCAAAGGCCCTGACCCGTAGATCATTAACGTTTAGGGTTTCGGGTTTAGTGTAGGGTTTAGGGTTTAGGGTTAGATGTCGGTCCTTGGGGTGTGCTTGTCATGTGCAGAATTAGGGGCATCAAAAATCTGGAATTGCAACGCATCGGGCTGCAGAGCACACACAATCCACCTAGACCCTAAAGGCTAAACCGCCAGAATATTTCTGGCCAAGGGGCGGCTTGGGCAGCGGCTTCCTGACAACCGATGGCGCTCTGACTGTCTGCGCCACTCCACTATGCGGAACCCCAAATCCCGAGGTGTCGACCCGAACCTTAGACCCTAAATCCCAAGCCCTATACTATACTGAACTTAGAACCCTAGCAAAAATTACAGTTTGAGCTGTTTCTTAGGGATTATAATAACCAAAAATTAGAAATTATTTCCAAGTACCCCTAAGTATGCCCTACAGCCCGGTTCTGATACCCAAAACACGGCAGACTTCGTCTCTGGACCACCAAGACTTTATGTTTACAGGCAGAACAGCCAGAATGCAGACGCATATTTTCTTGAGCCAATGAATGACGGTAGGTGCAGTTGACTAGCTACATCTTCCACAAAATACACCCCCCGCGCATCTTAGTGCAACGGTTGAGGCGAAGGCGATGGAAGGAAAGACTAGTCACTAGACCGTCGTAAGCATATCACTTTGTGACAGCGAAAACAACTTGCAACAAAAGCAAATTATGCGGCCAATGTTTTGCGCCCTTTGCTGTTCGTACGAGCAGGGTAGCTACCAACCCGTTAGGGCGGTGCCGACGCTTAAATCTCACTTCACTACTAACCAGACGGCATCTAAATGTCTCAGAATACCATCCCGTTAGGGAGGTGATCAAGCTCGGCGTAATGGGCCGTCGATCAAATGACCTCAGTAGATGCGGTCACGGCGGTTGGTCCTGTAGTTGTAGACCTCATGGACCCAACCAGACAAGAACCATTGGGCATGAGAGGTGTCCAGAATCGTGAAGCCATGTGGATTACCATGAGTAGGAATGGCATTCACCACTGAAGTAGGCTGGATGTAATCTTCGGTCATCGCAGCGAACACCGCCCATTGGTACATGTCAACGCGGTGCCAGTCCATTCGCCTGGCAAGCGCAGGATCGATGATGTTGCCGGAAAGATCGTTCCCCAACACGAAGTGCGGGTACAACAATCCTGCGACCCTGAGCTGCTCAAAGAAGTTGACAACAGTCTCACGCATCCGGACCTCTCGGTCGGAGACATTTCTCGTCTCGAAGAACACGCCGAAGGTCGGTGGGTCATGGGGTCGCCGGCGATAGGTCTCGGACCATTCGCGCCTTGTGCCTAGATCAACAGCAGAGGACGGTGCCTCGCTCACTGTCCCATCCATAGTGGCATCGGGAGCAACCGTTTCCGGTGCTGGATTGCTGAAGCCTGTACCAGCCCGCATTGCATCCCAATCTGCGTCACTGATGTAGTCGGACGGATCACGTGCCACACGCCTGGGCGGCGGCATCGCAGGCTCCCGAGGGGTGCGATCGGTAGATGAGCCCGCTGCGTCTCCAGGGTTGGTCCGGATATGGACCTCGGTCGGACGATGTCTGGCAATCGGGGACCTTGTGCGATTGCGGTCTGCTGGACCCGATGCACGCTCGTCAGAGCTGCGACCTCGTCGTGCAGGAGATGCCGGAGGCTCAGGTGGGCGACGTTCGGACGCGGGAGCCGAAGTGGTCAACCTCACGTGGCCGCTCTCCCCGATGCGCTTGTCCATATAATATTGCTGGTACCGACGATAGTAAGGGGTATTGGCCAGCAGCTCGTTGAGCTGACGTTTGCCAAGTCCCTGTGCCTCAGCGGGTACCTGCAGATTTCTCTGGGTGCGCAGAGAAGGATTTGTCTTCTCGATCCTTGTCCGGCTCAGTGGCAATTGTGCCTGGAAGAAAGTAGCCAGCTCGGCCATGATCGGCAAGATTTCATTCTGCACGACGATGTATTTCTCCCCATCGTACTGCAGGATGGAAAACTCATGCTGGTTAGATTTCACAGCCTTGATGAGAACTGCAATCTCATTGATGGTGTAAAACCGATCATGAAAACAAATCAGACACTCCGTGAGGAGGTCGATTTCAAGCTGGCCTGTCACCCAGAGGAGGGCAACCTTCCCGGTGGCATCATAGTAGGTGGACGAACCATGCCCTTTTCCCTTGCCCTGATGATCGGGAAGCCTCACGTTAGCGAAGCGTTGCAGCGCCTCGACCGTGTGAAAGCTGAGACCCATTTTGGCGTAGTTGTGAGCGGTGATTGGATCCACACTGTATTGCCCCTGCGGAGTGGTATTGTGGAGCTTCTCCGCTCTCTTCTGCTGATTGAGGACCTTCTGGCGGATGCCAGACGCTGTGCTTCGAATGCGTTCCCTTTCTTCTGGCCCTTGAGTCTTCACGCGCTGGCGTGTGAGTCCCGAGGATGGCTGCAAGTCAATGATGTTGACCTGCCTGCCCTCTCGGGCGGCGCTTCGCCGGAGTCTGTCGGGCTCGGCGATAATCGCAATGTCGGTCATCTCGATAAGACGACGTTGGCAACCTGGACAGGAGATCATTCCGTCGATGTACTTGTGATTGCACGAGCTGCAATGGTACCCGGGGTAGAGGATCAACTCCTGTTTAATCCAGTGCCTTGGTTCGATCCTCTGGCGAAGTCGGATCCGCTTGCCTTCCATGGATGGCCAGACGTGGATACCGATCCCGAGCGAGCCGTCATATGTTTCGATGAGCTGGTCCTCGTTCTTCTTTCGCTCGATGACTTCTTCGCCGACCTCGCTCAAGATGTCCGCCGAAATGCGAAATGGGGTCTTGCAATCGATTGCGACCGGCGCCCACTCAGCGATGGTGAGATTCTCGGCGCTTTCCAGCAAGTCGAGAAAGCAGTTGTGCTGCTCCAAGGCAAATTGATCCGGACCAAAGATGTATTTATGACTTCCATCCTTGTTCCAGCTCGCTAGAGCGGAGTCAATGTTCCGACGGAACGCCTGGTAGGCCGGATTGACCCACACAGGCTCTGCTGTGCCCCGCTGATAAGCGTAAACCAGATATCGATTGCTGATCCAATCTGGTGTCTCCAGTGCCCCGGAGCGAGTCTCGAAGAGCCGGACACCGTCCAAGACGGCCATTTGGAGATCGATGGCGAACTCGACGTCCGCCGCCTCGCGAAGGCCCGCATTATCATCCCTTTTCCATTCTGGTTGCTTTGACATCATGACAAAAGCTCTGCTACCACTCTCGTGGAGCGCGGCACCACCAGGCAACAATCCGTATCTGATGATATCTGGGAAGTGCCTCATGAAGGTGCCGTGGTAGCCCAGTTTGCAAGGGAAATCGACAAACTCCTGGGAGAACATGTCGAACGGATGAATTTTAGGCCGAGTCGCTAGACTGGCGTCCCATGGCACAAAGGAATGCACCACGGAGTGGATGTCAGCGAGTTCGGTATCGTCACCGAAGAGCCCTGACCAATGCCCATGAATAGCCCGAGCTCGAAGCACGTCAAATTCCTGATCGTTGTGCTTCTGAATGTAAATCTCGTAGCGGGCTTTCCCGTCGACTGGGGTCTTAAAGACTTCGAAGATCTGGGAGACCTTGAGTCCGTTCCAGATCTGGCTAAGGGCATCGATGAACTCTTCCCAGTCCATCGAGAGGTCATTCCGACGAATCGTCACTGTCGGCGTTCTATTGCCGTACTCGGGCTTGTTGGTGAAGCCTCTGAGGATGAATGCACACTTCTTGCCAAGTGCGAAGCGCTTGCCCTCACTGAGGCTGCGATGGTCAGACGCGAAGGGCGGCAGGTCCAGGCCTGACAACCAAAATTTACCATCCCTTCCGGGAGGTGACGCTTCTGCCTTGGCACTGGCAGCGTGCTCCGCTTTCGGCGTAGGTGCCGATTTCACAGCGGTGATTGGCATCTTCTTAGGAGGCGGTGGCTGCAACGGTTCAGTAGGCTTTGCGCCAGACGATGCAGACTTCCCAGGAACTTCCTTGGGCGGGAGTGTGCCAGACGCCGACGATGAGGATGCAGCCTGCGGCACGGCAGGAGGCACAGCATGAGCCTTCGTGGCCAAAGGTAAGATACCAGTTGCCTTAGGCTCCGCGTCAGCGGGCCGCGACTTCGGAGGAACAGGTGGTTTCTTGGCCTCCTCCAACTGCATTTCCCTCATCAAATTCTGAATCCCGACGGATCCCCTCGCGTAGAATCGGGGCCGCTTGCTGAGTTCTTCTTCAGTGAGCTCCTCAAGACCTTTGAAGATTTTGTTAGACTCAGCATCCTCGTTAGAGGTGCGACCAATCTCCAGATCGAGACCGTAGACGCCGAGGGCATTCGCCAAGGCAATCTCTTCATCAGTCGCAGTCTCTTCGCCGTGACTGCCGATCTGGAGCTTGGTGATCATCACAGAGGGATCCGAGTTGTCCTCAGTTCTCTGGACAATATTCTCGGCTCCAGGTGTCGTGTCAAAGAGGACGCGATCAGTGTCGGTCAGCTCCTCTGGCTCAGCACACAGAAGATCCTGATGTGCGGCCAACAACGGAGCACTCAACACGATCTGTTCGTCGTCCCCCCGGACGTCTGGCGGTTCCTCGCGCTCAGTATCGGCACAGACGTGCATGTCCTTCAGTGGCGGGACCGTTATTCTGGAATCCGGTTTGGCCAGATGGAAGTGTTCGAAGAAGACCACCTCTCGGCGGTTGGCAACCAACTCTGAGCGCAAGTCCGTCACCGCCCGATCGAAGACCGTAGCGGTGACAAGCGACTTGTACCAGGTGACAACCGCAGCCACATTGTCAGCCGTGAAGTTCGTGTGAAACTTGTCTGGTCTGTCAGTGGCGCCCAACACTGGGTTGGGGTCCACCAGCCTCACACCTGCTTCGGCCAACACTTTCGTGTGGCGAGTCATCTCCTCGTCGTACTCTTCCGGCAGGCCGTACATAAAGCCATTCTCAGGGCCTGCGATCATCGTCACAGAATTCACCCCTGGCCGGTCCTTTAGGGCGGCGATCTTGACGACATCTTCCTGAACCTTCTTGAGCTGCTTGATCGGCCATTCGAAGGCTTTGCGTGCCATCTCGGCCGTCTCTTTCACCCACGGCGATTGGTGGTGCCAGGTAAAGGCCTTGTAGCCCCACTTGCCATAGACGTCATTGCCAGTCCACGAAATGAAAATGTCAAACCCTTCCGGGTGACGAGG